CCTGGAAGAGAAAAATAAATAATTCAAAACAATTCCAAAACAAGTTGGGTTGGAACACTGTCTTTTATTAGGAAGTGGAATAGCTCAGTAGGTAGCGAGTTGGATTGTCGTCTGCTAGACGTTTAGGTGCTGTGGTTTCGAATCCTCCTCAAGGTAAGGAAATTTCTGATGCCTGTGCCAATGCTTCCAAGAGTCGGCCCAGTGTCAGATCTCACCCCCTAAGACCTAATTTACAGTTGGGTTGACTGGAATGATGAGGAAAGATGACTTATTTAAAATCATGTACCGCCCAAGATTAGAGCCTACCTTGGTCTCAGTATATTGTTTGTATTATCACCTACCCTGGTTATTAACATTAGGTCTCAGTAGAGTCTGTATTATCACCTACCCTGGTTATAAACATTAGGTCTCAGTATATTGTCTGTATTATCACCTACCCTGGTTATTAACATTAGGTCTCAGTATATTGTCTGTATTATCACCTACCCTGGTTATAAACATTAGGTCTCAGTATATTATCTGTATTATCACCTACCCTGGTTATAAACATTAGGTCTCAGTATATTGTCTGTATTATCACCTACCCTGGTTATAAACATTAGGTCTCAGTATATTGTCTGTATTATCACCTACCCTGGTTATAAACATTAGGTCTCTGTATATTGTCTGTATTATCACCTACCCTGGTTATAAACATTAGGTCTCAGTAGAGTTTGTATTATCACCTACCCTGGTTATAAACATTAGGTCTCAGTATATTATCTGTATTATCACCTACCCTGGTTATTAACATTAGGTCTCAGTATATTGTCTGTATTATCACCTACCCTGGTTAAAAAAAAACATTAGGTCTCAGTAGAGTCTGTATTATCACCTACCCTGGTTATTAACATTAGGTCTCAGTAGAGTCTGTATTATCACCTACCCTGGTTATTAACATTAGGTCTCAGTATATTATCTGTATTATCACCTACCCTGGTTATAAACATTAGGTCTCAGTATATTGTCTGTATTATCACCTACCCTGGTTATAAACATTAGGTCTCAGTATATTGTCTGTATTATCACCTACCCTGGTTATAAACATTAGGTCTCAGTATATTGTCTGTATTATCACCTACCCTGGTTATAAACATTAGGTCTCAGTATATTGTCTGTATTATCACCTACCCTGGTTATAAACATTAGGTCTCTGTAGAGTCTGTATTATCACCTACCCTGGTTATAAACATTAGGTCTCAGTATATTGTCTGTATTATCACCTACCCTGGTTATAAACATTAGGTCTCAGTAGAGTCTGTACCCCCATTTTATACTTTAAGATCTCTTTTCCTTTTTTTTGATATTTCTCGCAAAGTATTCCAAAAATATACATCCAGTGCCTTAATTTTTATGCAAATCTAATTTTTCTGATAAAAAATTTAAGCTACACTTTTAAGCTCCAAAATTCAACCAATGTAATGTCCTTCACAATCTAAAAACAACAGCACATTTTTTAAGTTCCTATATTATATCTATATCCTATAAGTCTGAAAATAGTTTCACAAATAGACCGTATTGAAATTACATTTCAGTCTAAAAGAGATTTAAAACAAGTCTAGACTTGGTATAGATTATTATAATCTACTGGTTTAAATTAAATTTGATAAGTTTTATTTTGAGATAATGTGTTGAACAGGATTATTGAAAAAATGTCCCTTCTCCTAAATCCAATCTTCTACGATCAAAGAGATACAGTCTGATAATCCTTTAATCCTAATCTAGTTTGTAGTTAATTAATTGTTAATCTTGTAACCAAATTCATTTAATTTTAAGGCATTTATAGAAATTAAAAATTATATCTGATCTTTACGTGTATATCAGAGACACTTAAAAAATATAAGCATTTACACCATTACTTATTTATACTTATTTTAAGAAATTTAAGGGCATTGAGAGGGCTTCAATTCTAGTTTTATTTTGTCATTCAGG